AAGGGGGGGGGGGGGGGGGGGGGGGTAACCCGGGCTTTTATTACCACTACTTCCTGTTGTTTCACAGAGTAAAAATTCATTTGAAATTAAAGAATGACGAGCACCAGTTTCAACCATAAGTTATAATTTCGTAAAGTTATACCAACCATCGCAATCGATTCAGTTCTTATATTCAACAGTTTTTGGGAAATTAGTTTTCTTATTTATTTATGTTTGAGGTGCTTGTTCTTTTTATTGTGAATAAAATCAAAGGAAATCGTTTTGTGTATCCTCATCAACTTCTTGTGCTTTCAACCACAGTGACTCCCAACCTCCAGTCATGGATTCGCAGGTATATAATTCACCCCATTAGTGACCATAACCTACACATCTGACACTAGATAATGTGTACGCGTTTTGGCATTGGTAGTTAAGCTTTCTGTTCATAAACTCACTTAACTCTTATCGTAGTCAAGCTAGCTTGCGGTTAATGCCAAGGCTTGGTTTCGTTTTTGACTGTCAGTTACTGCACTACAGGAAGTTCTCGATTGAAATAACCTGGTCACACATTGATAGACAAAACTGTTTTTTACCCGTTTTGCTTGTACCTGGGTACGTTAAGTATAATATTATACCAATGGTTGGTAAGTAACAAAGAGGTTTGATGATATAGATCGGGCTTTGCTGATGCACGTTCCATTCGTGCCGGCTGGCTTGTCCCTTGGCTGAAAAATGAACAGGGAATTGTTCTCTTAGTGACAACTGTTGCCAATTGCAGGTAGTTTGTTTGATCGTTGTGCTGGATGTTGTTAGGTGATTACCAACCCAGAGGAAATCGCCAGACTCTACAGACAGCTCAGCCTCTTCCCCTCACTCAGCAGAGCAGACGTGGGACCTGTCATCACCTCTCAGTATGGAGGCAAATACAGCAACATCTACACAGGTTTGTGTCAACGTCGAGGGCTACACATCCCACCATGATCACCGACATTGATTCTGATCATCTGCTGCAGAATGGAGCCAGCGCGATCTGGAGAGGAATGAAAATGTCAAGTTTTGCAAACAGTACATCGTGTTCCATGATGACAAGTCTGTGGTATTTTCAGCGCCATCCGGAAACTGCACTGAGGTCCAAGGAGTGTATGTTCAAGCTATGAAGTTAGATGTATTAGTTATTTTGAATATGTTCCAATATACATGTTTTTTCCCTCCTCATATCAGGTTGCTAAGTAAAGATTCCCCATCTGGAGAAATGAAGGCTGTTGTCAGAAAAAGTACAGTAAAGGGGGAAGATAACCAGTTTCTGGAGGTTTGGTGTTTTATTAATACTCTAGAGCAGTGTTTTTTTGTGTCAAGGACCAGTTGAGACAAGTGCATGTTGCTTGCGGACCGGCAACCATTTTTTTTTATTGCTTTTAAATCGCCAGTTTGAAACCACTGGTACTGACAACAAAGACAGATATAGATTAATTAAACATTTCATTCACATAATTTTTTTCCCCATTCATTTTAAACGGCATTATTGTATTGTACAACAAATGTAAAATAAAATATTATTGAACCACAATGACATAGATGGCAATTTTCCGCGGATCCGCGGAAATCCGCCGTTTTATTTCTTAAATTGATCATTTTTGTGAATCGTCTAAATCCGTTGAGAAAATTTTAGGGGCGGTCAGGTACCTTATCGTCGAGTTTTCACGAGCTCTCCCGAACAGTCTCTCCGTTTTCCGTTTG